GGTTGGGCTGTGAGATAGGCCCTTAAAATCTATTGCGAGTCCTCACAGCTTAGCTAGATAGTGAGATGTTTGATATACTGCTGTATTCAGCATTGGTGGGTGTTACAGAATATCAGTAAACAAACATAACTACAGATATTTGCACTCAGTGTTAACCAGAGTGTACTGTCTTATTATTCTGTCCTTATTGCTTGTCACTGTTTCCACTTGTGTCATCATGATTAACTTATGCTGGGACACTGGATTACTTTTGCTGCAAAATGTAACAGTAATTGAATAATATTACGAAAATCAAGGTATGAAGACTTTCTAAACAGCATGCAACCATCACAATTTCACAAATAACTACATGAATGAAAATCTTTAAAAAAGAAAGAACAAACTGCAGAAAAATAAACACAAGCTATGCATGAAGAAAAAAAACACATTCCATGCAGCTACATGGTATTTAAGCTTCATTTTCAGGATCTTCCTGTAGGGGGAGGCATTGCATTGCAAGTGGACTGATTTCTGTAGTAAAACTTTGATGCTTTAACTCAACTGCAGTTTTCTCCTGAACTGAGAGACAACACCTGAGTCAGTTTTACTGTTACCAATATGATAAACTTGCCTTCAAATTACTTCCAGGTCTCTTATGTTAACTGCAACAAACAATAAACAGTCATTTAATTGGTACAAAAAATCTTTGAGATTCATCATACTGACTTAACATACATAAGGCTGTATCTTTCAAGAACCTTGTTTATAATAACATAACTGTCACCATAAATTAAATGTGCAAAGCATGATTACATTTAACAGCTTAATTTATGGAACTACAGTGTGCAGCCATGTTGATTGTTGATTTATTGAGACAGCGTGCTTTTCAAAAACTGTATTCTTGTATGTTAATAACAATAACTGTACAAGGGACCATTAAGCACTGTCATGTATTTAGAACAAATTGATTAGTTTGATGGAAAAAAGATACAATTAGTCCTCCAAGTGCTGAATGTCTCATTCTCAGCTATCGGGCATCAGGCATCAGATGCATCAATAAACAGAGATGGATGGCAGCTTGCCTATTTGCTCGGCTCAGATCTATGTCAACGCCTTGAATACAATGCACTCATTATGGAGTGTGACACAGACTGGATATTGTGCTGTGCCCAGGCATGAAGAAAGGGTAAGCTGTGGCTCTTTGTGAAGTGGGTCAGGTCTGTGAAATGGTTCACAGTTGGCTATGTCAGCAGAAAGATGTGATTTGATAATTCCCATAGCCTATGAACCCTCAGAGAACCAAAGAAATCTGCTAAGGGTCTGCAGTCGCACTAATTATCCCATGATCCTTTGTCTGGCACTAAATACCAGACATTTGTAGGGTCAGATTGGATGTCATGTGTAGTGTTGGTTTGAATTAGCCTCAAAGGCAACCAGAACCCCCCCCCATCAAAACATTTCTGTCGAGCAGTGAGAAAACCTCATGAGAACTTCTCATCCTGTAAAACCTGAAACAAAAATTAATCTTGAATGCAGAGCAGAGGGTCTAAATGTGGATTTTTTTCCCCCAGAGCTGACAGGATCAGTTACAGTATCGTAGCCTGAAAATTATTTCTTTTTCTTTACATACATAGTTTGCAGTTAAGGTAACAAGAACTTAGATCCAAGCATGTGGTAAATGCATGGGAAATGAGCATAGATTTTACTTCTAAATGCTTCCTCTGTGTCCAGATTCTGGTACTATAGCTATTTCAAATGTGCACAAGTAATCCAGTGTTTGAGCCAGAATTTAAATGCTAGGGTCAAATCACATTTCACGAGAAACAACTTATGTTTCAGTCACCTCACTGTTTCAAGTCAATGTCCTAGAGTAACCTCTCCACACTTGAAAAAAAAGGGTAATTATAGGAAAAGTAAAGGTTCCGCTAGGGGTCTTTTGTAATTGTAAAAGTTGTGCAGGTGTTCAATGTACGATTGCTACTTTGACGTTTTAAATTTCCATTTTATTTTTTATGCATTTCGTAGATGGGATCACATGCAAAACCTCTTAAAATGGAAATGGTGTTAAGTTGCACTTCATTTTATTAAGAGTGTGAATGTACGTGTGTGTGCATATTTTTGCGAGCCTGTACTCACGGGCGTGTCTGAGTGTGTGATGTCATGGTTCGGATCCGGGTGATCCCTTCTTGGCCAATCGGTGTGAAGCAGGAGGTTTCTGGAGGAGGCGGTCAGTGGATGATTGAAAGGATGGGGGAGGTTAAGCTCTAGACCAGGCTGTGAAACTCTGACCTGTGGGAGTAAGTTAGCGGTGTAGCGTTTCAGGCCAGGGACCTGTCTGCAGCTCGCCAAGTGTGACACCTATTAGTTTTATACAGCTGGACGTGACCCAGCTAAGTCACGATTAAAGCTGTAATAGATGTTATGTTATCATCTTAACAACAGTCAGGTCATATCCATCATAGGTGAGGCCCCTTCAAACCAGAGAGGATCAGAGTGAATGGACATAGTTGTAAAACTTCAAAGAAAAAAAACCAAGAGACCCCCAAGACATAAAACAGAAGTCACTGAGCTAACCACATAAATGAAAGCAGATTTTTGTATATCTTCACACTAGTATGTTTCATGCTATGGACCCACGGAAGACTAGGAGCTACTCTGCACGTCAGTGTTGTTCTGGTGAATAAGACATTAATCAAACTATTGGCCCCTAAACTTGCAGCACCAGCTGGCTTCTAGAAAACACTGTCTAAGTGTTAAGAAAGCATTTTCAAGTAAAATAAGTCAGATTGGTGGTTGTTAACACACATTATGCCCTAGATTCTTACTCTGTTAAGATCTTGGCACAGCTGTTTCATTTTTATTTTTACCCAGAAAATGTTTTTTTTTTTTTTATTAGCCAATTCATCTGAGTTATTTATGATTTTTATGATTTTGTGGGAGATCCTGTAAGGATTTGGTGCAGTTGTGTGAATAGTGAGGCTCCTGTGACAGCAACAGTTTGCTTTGGCGATACTGTTGGCCCAGCTTCAACTTTCTCCCTGCCATATAGCATGACTGTAACTATCTGAAAAACATCATGGGGCCACTGAACTGCTGTAACACATTATCCCATGAAGGAAATATATACTGCCGTCCATTTCTTATGTAATACAGCAGGGATTGTTTAACAGTGAAATGGAAACACACTGAAAGAGATAAAGAGAATTTATGTAATATTCTCAGTACAATTTCATTTTCATCAAACTGTCTCTAACGTGTTGATTTTATCCATGCAGAAGTACATACATAGATGGCTTTTAGTCATCTAGTGGCTTTTATTTTCAGTAGCAAAACCTTTGTTTTAATTCATCTCATTTCCAGGTCAAATGGTGCCACATTTCCTATTTATAGGTTATTGTTCCTTAAAATTATCTAAAACTGTCACCCTTTGTTTAGAAACACCTCTAACCCAGTGTGACTCGGACAGATGATTGTTTCCTTCTCATATTTCCAACCATTTTAGAACTTTCTCGACCACACAACGGTCTATAATAAGACGCGTGGGAGGCCTTTTCCTTTGTGAGGGTATAGAGAAAGTTAATTATACTTCACAGTTTGACATTTATTACCTATGACATCCTAATGCATTTTTTGTTTTTTCACTAACCTTGCAGCTTGACTCAGGAGAAGGCAAGATGTCGGCCTGTTGGTCCACTACTTTGGTCAAGACGGTAAGGTTTCAATTATCGGATTAATTGCCATAAAAGTTTCACTTAGCCAGTGAAATATCTCAGTATCCACAGAATGGACTGGCACAGAAGTTTATACAGACTCTCACTGACATTATCTTCTATCTACTCTAGATTTTTTTTCTCTCCCTTGTTTCTGTGCATTTCCCTCTTTTCCCCTGGGTTTCCCCTGTTGTGTCTGTGTGTATGTGTGTGTGTGTGTGGGCGTGGCTTCACTCTCCTGGCTCCTCTCCACACCTGTAGTCAATCATCTCATCAAGCTCTCACTTCAAGAACCCCAGCTTTCTCTCCAATGTTCTCCAGATTGTTCAGTCTACAGCGGATATGCTCTTGGCCCCTTTCTTCTTTGAGTAAATATCCAGTGCTAAATAGTTGTTTTCTTCTTCAAACGTGTTGGTTAACCAGTGTTCTCCAGTGCCCACCATTCCCTGCGTCCCCCTCAGCCAATCTCAGCCAAGGCCAGCCTCCAGCTGCTCCTCCCCTCATTCATTTTACATTAAATCACTTAAATCCAACTCACCTTTAGGGCGCCTCCGTAGCTCACCTGGTAAGCGTGTATCACATGGGCTCAGTCCTAACCGCAGTGGCCATGGGTTCGAATCAGACCCACGGCCCTTTGCTGCATGTCATCCCCTCTGACTCTCCTGTCTATCTCTCACTGAACTATATAAAAAATAAAAAAACAACTAACTCACCTTTGTCTGTCTCTGTTTTTGGGTCCAAACACAATTACATAACAGTCACAGAATACTTTGGTTTAAACACTGATCACATAAATCAGTTGTACTAAATGTTAACATGTTAACATGCTAAACTAAGATGGTGTGCATGGTAAATATATCTGCTAAACATCAGTATGTTGGCACTGTCATTGTGAATACATTAGTATGTCAACATTTGTATTTAGCTCAGTTTGCTGTTTTCCACTTTTGTCCACTGAGCCCATGGTTTGAATTACATTCCTGTATTAAAACTTCTTTACAATCTCAGCTGAGTTTAAATGAAGCTCAACATGTTCCTATCATTTTTAATCTTTATTATGTCACTCTTACTATTTCATTAAGTAAACCTACAACTCTATCTCAAACCCCTCCTTTAACTGTGCAGATATGCTAACTCGCAAACAAGTCTGAATATGCCTCTTCACTGTGTCAGTTTTCATGTCTCCGTGCCGAGTTCTGGCTTGAACTTCCTAATCAGTGACATTCCAGTGTGGGACCACAGGTACGAGACTATTGAAGAGAGAGGTAAAGAGAAAAGGGATGAAAAAGAGAGACAGAAGTGAGTGAAGGAGGAGAAAGAGAAAACTGTGAAGGGTGAAGAACAACAAAAAAACCCACCAATGAGGAGATCATGGGGGTTCAACGCTACTGGCTGCTGTTGGTGTTGATCGAGTGCCGTGAATGGATTACAGGTAGTGTGGTGATGGAATGAGCAGATTAGTGTTTGTGTATATGGAGGTTTGTCCTCGCACTGCACCCTAAATAAGCTTGTGGTGTTATTTGTGGTTGTATAGCTGCATGTGTGTGTGTGTATGTAGGTGTCACTCTCTCTGTCTGGGTCACACCATGTCGATGTGTGTGTGTATGAATATGCAGTTTTCCACTGCTGTGGTGGACTGGCCTCCTCTCCGCTCGGGCATGTCTCAACCTGTCTTCTCAGCAATGCTGCAAACAGGAGCCCTCAAGCAAAATCTGCCAGTGACGTAGACTGAGCGCTTGGCTTACTTGTGTTGTGATGGGGTACAACTGTTTATTAAGAGCTAAAGTATGTGTGATTCACTCAGGAGGGGCTACAGTGAGAAAGTAATGACACCTTGAACATGAGAGTGCATGCTTTTCCCAAAGCTTTCTCTGTACAGTAATGAATGGTTTTACCGGGTTTGCTCACCTGATTGTAGCCTTTGCTGACCATTTGTTTTCAAGATATGGTCAAAATAAAGTTAAAAATAGTCATAAGTAACTCGGCAACACAGTGAATCATGTGTTGTAAATTTGCCGAAGCAAACACAATAGCTTGTTTGGCGTAGAGACTCATTTTATGACTAATTGTATGATGTAAGGTGCTGAATCAAATGTTGCAGTGAAGACAATAACCATAAAAGGTGAGAGTGGGCTCTTGTCTGGTGTCCCTGTGAAATGGGAAGTTCCATGAAGTGATGCCATTTATTATCATTGCAGCCACGGCTGTTTGAGCGATGTAACTAACTCAAACGACAAAATAATATATTCACAACAGAGAAGAGTAACCAGAAGATTAAAGCATAGAGACATCTTTACTCTATCATGGAATAAAAAAATTTAGCCTTTGTCCTTTTTTATCAGGAGCTGTGGGTGACATCAGTCCATATATAAAGCATTATGAGGGCTTGTCATATGACAGGGAGGATCTTCACAAGATGCACTTGAGAGCCAGAAGAGCCACACAACCTCAGGAACATACGCTGCAGCTGGATTTTACTGCTTTTCACAGGTAACGTCGCATTTCCTAACTTGGGAAGCATTGCACTCAAAAGCATGGTTCTGTTTGTGCAGACTCTTTGTATCTGTTCCTAACCCAAAAACACATGTCAACCATCATTTAGTGATTAGTTCACATATTTACCTGCTGTTGCTAGATCTGCATACCTTTCACAACAGTACAAAGCTTTGGCCACAGCTGTTTGTGCTTTTGTTTCCCTTCAGAACTTTCCGTCTGCGTTTGAGACGAAATGCAGCAGCATTTTCCCAAACTTTCATGGTGGTTAGTGAAAATGGTTCCACATCAGCTGACCTCTCCCACATATATTCAGGAATATTAGAAGGTGGGTATGACAATGAAACCTAGGAACAGATCTCCTAAATTTGGTTAAATTCAGAGGAAAATCTAAATGACTTTACTGTAATCAAAGTGATTAATCATATAACTTCAACAGTCATTTGTAATTGCTATGGTTTGGATAAAACATCTGGATAAAACATTTGTATAAACATCTGTTTGTGGCAAAACATTCATGATTTATTGAAGTCTGAGGAACAAAGCAAAACTTAATGAAGGGAGTGGATTAAATGAGAGAGTTTATTGCTTTGATTCTCCTGCTTCATACTTCCCCTCATATATCTGTGATGTCTGAGCACTGCCTCTAATCTTTACATTTTTCTCAGTATCTTATTTATTTATTCTGTCTGTCTCTCCTCCACAATCTCCTGTCTCTGCTCATTTCCCCCCTCTCTGACCCTGACATCTCTCTTGACCTGTTATTGCAGGTGAACACGGTTCAGCCTGCCATGGCTCTGTGTTACAGGGTCAATTTGAGGGAACCATCCACACAGACAACGGGACTTATCACATAGAGTCAGTCCATAGATACAACAGCAGCCAAACAGACCACCACTCTATAATCTACCATGAAGACGACATGAGTAAGACTTCCTTCATTTTTCCACTGCATGAAAAAAAAAAAGGTTTTCTGAAAGTGTTGTCTCAGCACAAAAAATCAAGCTTCTTTTGCCTCTGCAGTAACAGATGAAAACTCTGAACCTTGTGCATCTGTGGTCTGAAATTCTTCTAATGTCACCCCAAAACCTCAACTGCTTTTCTGGCCATTTGGTGATGATGTCAAGAGCACAAAAAGAAACGCCATGTAACAGTAGATCTCACTTAAAGGTCTTATTCAGGGACCTGCAGTCTCACAGAAAGACAAACAACTACAGCAAAATGCATTTCTCCCCGGTTACTATTCCTTATTGCTCTTTCTCATACATTACAGTATCTGCAGCTCCCAGCTCTAGCATAAACTAAGGTCACTAGGGGTCAATGAACCAGCCGTGCCCTTAACTTGTAGGTCAGTTATAATGTAACAGCAGAGCCTATTTAGAGCTCTGAGGCGGATCCACCCTGAGCACTAGCCAAAGAAGAGATAGGCCGAAGATGGGGTGACTTTTGAAAGAGGAGGAGGAGGAGGATAAATGAGCGGGTGGGGGGCTAAAGTAAGGAGGAAAGTATGAAGATGACGAACAGGAGGAGGATATGTACAAGGATATGAGTTTCTAAAGGGAAAGAGAAAAAGAGAAAAAGAGAACAGGACCATGTATAGGATCTTGCAGAGTTTGAAGGCCATAGACACGGTTTCTACGACAACGGATCAAAATGAACTCCAAGTTTGCTTCAAATTATATCAGTTTATGATTTGGCCAGATGGCAGTCGTCACTGAGATCTGTCAAAATGTTTTGTGTGTGTGTCAATATGTGTGTGCATGTGTAGCTGTGTCTTTTTCCCCGGCTCTGTAGGCAACAACGAATCAGTATAAGATTATTTCCAAGAAAGCTTTTCCTGGGAATTTAGTGCAAAACGTGCCAGACCACCCCCCCACACACCCCCTGTCTTCTGCCCCTGGCTGCCTTCCTCCCCACGCCTCCCGCCATTCCTTCAACCCCTTTCACAAATCGAGTAACTTTGCAGCTGACAACATCCTGTTCTTTCTTTCACAGGCCAGCATATCTGCAGGAAACTGTAAGAGATCTGGCACATGATAGTTCCATAAACAATCAATGCCTCCATACAAAGTGGTAAATTAGGACATGAGGGGCTGACATAACTCCTGTGTGTATTTCCACTTCCTGTGGTTGTCGTCTCAAATGCTACTAAAGTTGAATGAGGAACCCTCTGTTCCCTGGGATGGAGGATGTCAAGGCGTCTATCAGATCTGGGACACAAGGCACGGCCTGGGTAGCCATTAATAACCGAAACAGGTGATGCTCAACACAAACAAAAACTGAAAAGATGAGTTGAAAACTGCCCTCCCTGTATAATGTGTATACAACAACAAGGCAGATACAAAACATCTGGGTTAACAATATATGGAGGCGCAATTTATGCCCTGTCATGAACATATAAAGCCACTAAAATTGTTGACTTTTATAAGCGTAATTGTGAAAAACTGTTAAATGTAATTCATTATGGCTGCGTTTGCTAATGTTTTGAACATCTGCAGCTTTTGTCGTGTTTTTTCCAAACGTCTGTGAAGTTTGTCAAAACAGGTTTGTTGTGTAACGTGTTTCTATCACTGACTGTCAGTCGTCAATTTGAGGATGTTACTTTTAGAAATAGTCATGGTTTATTATGATCAACATGTGTGTGTGTGTGTGTGTGTGCGTGTGTGCGTGCTCGCGGGCGCGCACATGTGTATGTATGTTTGTGTGTGTGTGTGTGTGTGTGTGTGTGTGCGCACACACCTACAGCTAAGTTACACCCTAGTTCATGTGACCTTCTCTTTGAAGTTTCACATATCTATAAAAGGGTAACTATTAACCTCACACTTCCTTGAGCGAAATCAAGAGTGATAAACATACTTTAAATATCTCTGGGAATGTTTAACTGTTTGTGTAATAATTGCTTACTCAAACTGAACTTACAGTCAGTGAAGTTGTGTAGATCCCTTTATATTTTCCTTCTACATTTGTAGAGTCCGTCTATCTGAAAGATTTACTGGAGCTTTCATTTAGATTTCACACTTATATGAATCTTTCAAATCCTCAGTTTAACAATCATGCAAAATATTCTTCAAACATCTATTTCTTCATGATATTTGTTGCCACATATAACAAATATCTCGAGTGAACACTGGATGAACTCTCGGAATTGCAGTAATATCTTGAGGTTATCTGTTGTTTAGCATTACAGCTGAAGAAACAGCTGTTACACTTCCTGACAATCATATAAAGAAAATCATGTATTGAAATATACTTGCAAGACAGCAGGGCTTCCATGTTTTCCACAAACACTATCAGTATAGCAGCATGAGCACTATGGAGGTTTTATAAATTGTGTAAATGGGGAGGTCGCAGGTTGATTAGGGGATATCGGGACCACTGGAGACAGAAAATCTCCCACCAAATGTGTGAATCATGTTGTTTTTAACAACCCTGGGGCCTTGTGGTTGGAAAGACCATTGACCCTCTGGTAGATCAGAGATTCTGTATATTCTCGAGTAGTGGTGTGCACACACTGGCACGGAGAGTTTAGCTTAATGTTTAGATTTAGGGTTAATTTGCACTTGAACAAACCAAGGGGGCACTTGAGGGCACTTAGACCAACCACAGCAGCACCTGGGCCAACTACAAGGGTGCTTGGAGAGCACTTGGCCTGACCAGAGGGTCATTCATGAGGCAGCAGCTTCAAGGCAAAAAAGTTGTCCCATTAAAGCCCGGTTTAAAAATTGGGCATGTCAACAGTCAATGCCTTTTTTTTAGCTAGTGTTGGGTCTGCCCCCTAGACACCAAACTCCCCAACTGTTGTGATAGAAGTAAAGTGCAAAAGCATGAGATTGAAAATGTAATGTTAATGTGTGAGTGTCTGATTTTATATTAGTGTGGTGTCCAGTCATAACTGTTATATGCTCAAAGCTTTGTGCTGGAATGAGACTTGAGGCTCTGGCATACATTTTCTACATTAATCTTAGCAGTAGAACTAGTATCCAACAGCTGCTGGGAATGTGATTTCTGATATTTCATTTGGGAAAATCCTTTTATTTTCTTGCACTTATCGTACAGCAGTTTGTAACTGTCAAAGAGCCTCTTGCATAGACGGGATTCAGTTCTTATTTAGATTGGAAAAAGACTGAATAAATGATCATTTCTTTCTCCAACTTTGGCAACACAGGTCAGAAACATTTATCTCCTACAGTATGATCAACGGAGGGTGACAATCTTTAGAAAGGAGAGAGAGAGAGAGAGAGAGAGAGAGAGAGAGAGAGAGAGAGAGAGAAAGAAAGAAAGAAAGAACATGGGCAAGTAGAAAGGGCTGGAAATAATTCCGTCAGTGGGTCGACGCCCGGCATTTAGGCCTCCACATCCACCTCCACCCCCGCACAGTCCACCCCTACTCATGCCATGTGTAGACCGAATTGCAGGTTTGTGATTGGCTGGAGGACTTTCGTAGCATGGTGTGATCCAATCATGTGTTGTCTCTCTCTCTCTCTCTGTAGACTCATGTCTGATGCAGGGAGATGCTGTACTGGTGACAGTGTTTCACACGCACGCACGCAAACACACACACACACACACACACACACACACACACACACTTTGCATTACGTCTTGAAGTTCTTATGGGTCAACAGTTAACTGGCAAAACATTGCCTGATTCTGTCACTCTCTAATTACTGCAAACATGTGAAAGTGATTATTATGGCATGTGACTGAACTGTAACTGTGGAATTTAAAGACATTTTTTCTCTACATTAATGGAAGAGTTTGTTTTCTTTATATCGGTCTTATAACCACAGGCGTTCTACATGCGCCCAGGGAAACCTATTGTTTTGAATATTTTGCACGGTTATGAAACGTTTCCAGCAGCGTACTTTACATTACATTTACATTGTTTACCCCATATCTCCCCCAGGGACCCTCACCATAAACCTGATATACTCTGTTGCAATGAAGTCCTTTGGTTTTTTGCATTTTTGTGGAATTCTCTGGCTTTTCCAATGCAACACGATGGGCCAGTTTATGCTAATGAAATGCCTCCCTGTGACTGCAATCCTATCATTATTGCATCAGTCTGAACGAGGCAGCTGTCCCAGAGGTGTTGCAAAATCGTGGACGATGATGTTGTTTTAGTGAAATCAAACCACCAGCTATCACAGCATTTTCCACAGGCCGCCCCATGGCTCCCACTCCAGACCACTGCGCTAATTTCCAAATGTGGGTCCTCTATTTATAAAGTGTCTGAGAATGTGAGTGTGCTTCTGCCCATGCTAGTTGCTTGACATACCAGTCACTAAGGAGCTGAGTTTGAATGACTTCTGCACTTATTGTTTTATATTGCTCTGTATAAGAAATGGCTCAAATGTAAAGTGTACTTTTTAATGTGAGACAAGTGTTTGAAACTGCAGGGAAAAGACAGACAAAGTTGTGTAACTTTCTACATAAAATACTACATTTAACTACTACTTCACTTCCACAATCTGCCAGGCTGCAAAAAGCCTTAAACAGATACTCATGAACTAATTTTTGCTCTGTGAAGACTAATTGGATTCGTTTATCCTTAAAAAGGCTGTATAGGAGGAGTTGGTATAGAAGAGGTAACATGAAAATTTGTATTTAAAATCCTGACAATAGTAAACTTACCTTCCAGGAAATCTATATTCTTTCCTAATAGGATCATAGAGTTATAGTTTTGCATTTATGGGACTGTTGAGATACCATAAACAAAAAAAACTTTACTTTGTTTCAGACTTGGAGATTTATACCTTGAAATGTCAGGAAAGATAATCAGAAAACATCTGAATGAAACACAGCAAACATACTCCATAATGTAGTGGTCAACTATTGCACAAATACTTTCTTCTCTGATAATGGATCTGTTTGCCAAACATGTCCCACATTTTACCAAAGCACAAAGGTGCTTCTTGAAATTCTAGCTGACAGGAAACTGCTTCGTCAGGACATTGATAGTGAAAATTTCTATTGTACCTTGCACAATTCAGGTCCTCCTGTCCAGCTCTTGAATCATTCAGTATGTTCTCCCTGATCAGTGTCCCTGGTTAAACACACACAGTACAACGCGTTTACAATAATCATTTCAGCACAAACAAACAAGTCATTTTCCAAAGATCAAACTGTGGCCCCGGTCCACATTATAGGTTTGTTTATTTGTGAGCTTATCTTTCACAATATCTTGTTTGCTCCAAAAAAAGGAAGAGTAGTGGGTTGAACCAAACCTCATGTTTGTTATTTGTGCAATTATTTATTCATTGTATTATCTGGAACACATACGCCCACATTCAGATGAGTCATTATGGCATTGTTTACTTAGCTGTGTGTGTGTTTCACTCAATGAAAGACAGAGTCAATGAAATATTCTGAAAGTACATGTGCGTATTTGAAGTGTCTGTGTTTGTTTTTATGCAGTCCTGCCACCCATGAGACCTGGTCCTGATGGATTCTGTGGTGCAGAACATTTAAACGTCCTCGCCCAAAGCCTCAGACCCAAAGAGGTAGGACAGTCCAGACATCACCTCAGTCAACAGACATACTTTTTGTTTTTTTTTCTTTCCTCGCCTTCAAAATTTCCTCCTCTGCAAAACCATTTACAGCCAATTAACTCACATTTCTTGGAGGGAATACGCCAAAGTGTCTGGTTCATCTCTTGTCAGTGACATAATTTATGCGGGCCCTCATTCATTCAGTCATTTCGTATTACATTACATATTTTTATTTATTATTATTTATTATTATTACCTTGATGAGTCACCAACAGCAAATTACACGGATGTAAGGACACTAACAGAACAATGTGTAAAATACAAAGAACATAGCGGGGTATTTATAGGCCTAACCTATATTGGCGACGACCTTGAGTGTTTTTTTATAAAGAAATTAAAAAAACAGGTATGATGAAATAAACATCTGCCAATTCTATTTAGATAATCTCTCCCTTGGGTGCCCTATTTGTTGTTAACTTTTGACCAACTAGGTGGTGGTCCCTATGTCCATTGTTGTCCAAAGTGTATATGTGGACATTGGTATGGGTCCATTTTTAACTACATACCTGCCAGTGAAGATCATTTCCACTGTTTGGTCATAAAATGGGCTGAACAGATGTTGTTCCCAGTGGCGTGTCCAAGTTGTGTTCCTGTCACTACAGTCCCTCCTCTCCTGCTGGGACACTCGTATCAGCACTGTATCAACATATGTTCTCATACAGATTCCGTCTTCATGTCCCTGCAATTTTCATCCACAGGAGGCAGCAGCGAGCCGGACCAGGAGGACAGTTGATGAGTCAAAGACCAGCTGCCTGCTCCACCTCCATGTTGACCACCTCTACTTCAAGAGGTTCAAGTCTGTGGAAGCTGTTGTGGCTCAGGTGATAAGTCTTCAAACAACATCTGTCTCGGTTTGACGAGATACTTTGACTAAACAGGATATTTCAAATTCAAACCAGGATTTCATTTTTAATTTCAGGATTGATGCTACACAAAAAACGTACTGCTTGTGTGTGCTTTTGCTAAAAACATAACTTCACTGAGCTTTAAAGTTCAGATTCTTTCTTGACATGAAAAAACGGTTCAAGCACATGTGTCACCCCCTCCAGAGTGCGGCACTTAGATGCTTCTGATACCTGAGCTGGTATCAAGGCCTCAAAGAACGCAGCGTACACCAGAGCCCTTCTAGTGTAATGGAAAATCCAACAGGAGCATCAGAACACAGCAGGATTTCCTCAGGTGTTAGTTGAGCAGTACATGCTTTGTTTGCAAACCTGTCCCTGAATCTAGTGTCCTGGATTCAGGGTACATGGTGCTGCAATCAAAGGTTACTTGATGTAATTCCAAGGTTTGGGCTCAACATTGGTAGGTACACAACAAACCTGGCACTGCTCCAAAACAACTTTTTAATGCTGTCAACCGAATGGTTTATTAGATATAAAATCTGTATTTATATTTAAATAAAAAAACTATACAAAGACTAAAACCCTTAAAGACTAAAAGTAAACTTTAGGAAATTAAGGGAAAAGAGAGAAACAACAAACAATATGTTCATCCAACATCATCATTTTTAAATTTGGTAGGTGTACAGGGTGCATTATTTACCATTAAGAAATGTATACTGTATATATATATATATATATATATATATATATATATACATATATATATAATACTATATAAAGGACTAAGCTGTTGCTGCTGCAAGGCTGAATAAAGGGCCAAATGCAGGCCCTGCACAGATGCACACAGCTGTCATGGCAGGAGCTGAGAGAAGGTTGAGAATCTTCTTATTCTCCGAGAACATGGTGGCACATGGAGTCCAGAGATTTTAATGAAGCTTTGTGCCAGGTGTAAAGACCTGGCACAGAGCCACCAGAACCTCCTGTCCCTTCCCTTCTGCCCAGTGTGAAGCAGCAGCTATAAAACTGTCATGCTAAGGCCAAGCTGAAGCTTACAGACTGATAAAGACTGGTAGAAGTTTTGTACGAAATTTAAATAACACAACCCTTATTGAAGATTTAGCGACCTCCCTCTGGTATTTAATAGACTCTGTGGGCTCTGAAGTGGCTTATGACATTTAAAATGTCAAAAAGATTCTAACCCTTTGTCCTGCACTCTTGACCTTTGACCTTATTAGAGCAGCAAAATTACTGCAGCAGTCTCTGAGCTTCACTACTCATGCAATTTTCAGAGGAATGTTCTGTTGAGTTAATGACTAAATCAAATCATTTTTCAGTAGTTTTTAGTTTATATTGATCCTGGTTTTAGTATTAGCTGACCTGTGGTGAAGGCTGCCTGCCTGCTGGCATGCTTGTATTGCTTCAGTGCAATAAGAGTCATAGCAGTGATTGAAGTGTCTGTCTGTGTTGAAGTTTCTCTGTCTGAGCAAAGCTTTTGTAATGGGGCTTAGAGGTCACATGAGATGCTCTGCTGATATTGAGTGTAGCCACATACTGATATGAGAATCCAGTGAAGCAACATTAATATAATTACCCATTTAACTTCCTCTAAATTAAACCAGAGGAGCTGTTTGTCACTGCATTCCATATCTGAAATGAAATTATAAGTGCACAGATGTTTAATCTTATCTAATTATGTCAGATTCATGCTCTCACGATCTGAGCCAGGTTCAGTTTGGTTTCTGTGTTTTCTGTCGTGAAATTTGTTTCGCATCTGTGTTTTTTTGATTAAATTTTTTACTGGTCAAAGCAAGGTCAGTCAGTGAGTGAGTAAGTCTGTCCTTAGCTGATTTCTGCGGCCACTCTGTTATTCTCTCCAGCTCTCCTCCTGCTGTCCGTCCTCTCATCACCTCCTCTCACCCGCCTCAGATTCTTTCCACCACAAACACACACACTAGCTGTTGTCCCTGGTTCAGTGCCAGACCTTTGTTGCACCGGGTGAGAAAATATGGTGTAAGTGATGCCGTGATGTGATCTTTGAGTGTAAATAGACGAAATGCTGGTGTCAGTCACTGCTGACCTGGTTTTAGGGACTCGTAAGTCCAAGGTATATATTTTTACATCTGTGGAAATTTCCCAGGAGGCTCCTGTATGTTCATCTCCTCTGAGGCCTTCGCATGTGACTGGGTTGCACGTGTCTCTCTGAATGTGTGAGGGGCTGTGCCACCCACTATGGAAACACTCAGTGGATAACGTTGCTTTACAGATTACCCGACATGGTGCTGTTATGAATCATGAGCAAGACATGGTCAAAGATGTTTTGGCACAACAGGATTAGCAGTTCAACGAGAGTCAAGTATAGACTCAAAAGTATAAAATGATAAGTCTACTGTGAAATTCTGTTTTGTGATTGTCAAGCTGGTCTGGCAGTCATTGTGTTGCTCTGTGTTGTCAACCTCAGCCACCCAGAGCCAGAAACACTGTTACTGACTATATATCCGACTGTTTTCTCACATGAACCCATATCTTTCTCAGGTGAGCTCCTACATACAAGCTGTGAATGACATCTACGACAAGGTGGAGTTTGATGGAATCAAGCTGATCAACTTCAGAGTCAAATCCCTCAGTGTAAGATCCTTCTGCACCCAAACAATGACACCATTGTCCCAGATGCAGGTCACTGATAACTCCATACAACCACTAATCCTGGCTGTCACTCATTCACGTCTTAATTCACAAACACGCAGTGAGCTCCTTGTTAACAGGAATGAAGGGTTTTGGAGAGAGACACTGATTAAGATAATTATTAGTGGTGGTGCTCAGATGTCTTCTTCTACCAGTGACAATCAAACTAGGACCGACTCTCAGCCCCCAAATGAATGAAATATAAGTCTTACTTTCTCAGCGCTGTGGGGGGGGGGTGTAATTTTTTGTATCCTTGTGTGCCTCACTTTCTCCAGGTGATGACGGAGGAGGATAAAAATGATCCTCTGAATCCTCTGTTTATCGGGCCTGAGACGCTGTTGAGCCTGTACTCTGAGAAAAACTGGGGCAACTTCTGTCTGTCCTACCTGCTCACTAACAGAGACTACAGCGGAGTGCTGGGGCTCGCCTGGGAGGGCAAGACTGGTGAGTCACTCTCGCTGCGTCACATGTGTAGGCCTCCTGCACAACTCATAAACGCATGGATTCACACAAGTGACACACATACACAGTATGCAGTGGTTTGCACAGTTGCCTTGCAGAACCCTAGGTTTAAAAAGGTGGTTTAGTTTTCCCCACACTGAAAACACATTTAAAGTAGCAATGCTGACATGTATTTGTATTTGGGGTCTAAATGCTGCATTCTGGGGATTTATATGAAATAACTCTTGCACCGAGGATGAGACACTTAAGCTGCTTGCTTGTTCTTTAATTACTTTGTATAATTTCAACATGACATACTGACTGTGTATGTTTTTGTCACAGTCTAACTTGTTGGCTCAACCTTTGTGGTGAATAGTTAAATGAATAGTTCAAGTTTCGGCCGAGAAATGGTCCAGCACATAACCTTCTGTAAAACCATATCTTGACAATTTTACATTTTCTTTGTTGGACTGATTAAAAGAACATAACATTTCCATTTTTTTGCTAAGCTAAGCTAACTGGCAACAAAGCAAATGAGTGCATTTCCAACTATCTTGCGATGGGATCATTCCAGCCACCCGTCAACATGTTGACCCGTTAGTACGTAGTAGTTATTTCTACATTATTACATGAGTACTCAGTACTAATGGGTCGGACCACACCCATCTTTGAATTCAGCCTATAACTACACGACTGTTGTGTAGTTGGATTCAACAAAAGACAAAAAACTAAGAAAAAAAACACAGCTCTGAAAAGACGGATGGAAATTTAATTTATTAATTTATTTCATTTATCATTTAAAATAGAAATTTGTAACATCGTTAAGAAAGATAGCGCTCTTTCTTTTTCTAGGAGTGAATGGACATTTGAATATGGGCATCTGATTAATGGTTCCACAGTATTACTCTCACTTCATGTCTGCACATTTATGAATTAAAAGTATATAGACCTTTAATAGTAGAGACAAACTTAAAAGGTTATCCAAAAAACATATGTCATGGTAAACAGAGATGTGAAAAAGATACCAGTCTGTCCTTGTTAAAAAGTATGAGACTTGAAAAGTGAAATAATGTTTTCCTGCTTTGTGTCTCAGTGTTAATCTCTGTGTGAATCGCAGCTGTCAAAGCGTAGCTCCTTCTCTGGCTCCCAGGACTCCCTGGCCTTCATCTGTGACACAAGTGTCTACATTAAACACTCCTACACACACTCACAGTTTCCAGATCAGTGTGAATTATTTGACCCATGAAGGAGGTGAATCCAGGGTGAAGCATTGTGCAGAATTGAATTCAACTGCACTGACGATAAAAAAACAAAACAAATATGCATTAAGAAAATGTGAAACTCTTCTGCAAATGTGCACCACAGTTCATAAGAGGCATCTTCCAAGGATATGCAGTAATGTGTTGAAACTGCAGTGCAAATGCATGTAAGCCAACCTTAGTTTTCCTGGATCACTTGATGTTATGGCACGCAGAGCTCCAGGAATTATACAGCTTCCATTTCAGGCCTGTTATAGAAGCAGTGTTTTGGTTTGAAAGACCAAAAGCAAAACGTGAGTAAACTCCTCAATGAACAATCCTAAGTGATTTGCATATAAATCTGTCCCTTTATTCAACCTTACCCTCTGCTGTTGGCTCAAAGCAGTAGGAAATGTTTTTTTTATTTTCTTTCTGTTCTTTTTAAAAATAGTGATGTGCATTTTGCCCTTTAGAACTCCCCTGTGAACTCACATTACAAACCATGTCTGCATGAAATATGAAGATATGAAATATTTCCTGTGGGAAACTTTAATGCTACTGAATTTGTTATTAGATGTTAATGATGGCAGTTTGAAGTTTGAAATGAACTTTCACACATTTTCAGTCAACATTTAATTTTTAGGTCATACTGTTTGATGAACTAGATCCACAATTTTAGGTCAATATGATTACAAGAGAATTAACATGAAACAACAGAATTATTCTGAATGTCAGGCAGGTCTGGTGACTGACTGACTGACTGACTGTGTGTGCGTGTGTGTGTGTGTGTGTGTGTGTGTGTGTGTGTGTGTGTGTAGTGTTGTTGTTGTGCTGGAGGAAGTTGGACACATATGTGGGAATCGTCAAGACAGGAGGATCTTCCTGCTTGTTTCTATGACATTGTCTCATATGCAGCTTTTGATTGGCTAAACTGAGGGGCGTGAGAGCAGACCACCATGTGATTAGGAAGCACACGCACACACACACACACACACACACACACATACGTAGGACGCACGCACCACTCCCAGACGTCTTGGTGAGGATTGGTGACTGCATTCCACAGCATGATCACCATGGTGACAGCTCACGTGAGGCACACACACACACACAAACACACACACACACACACATTGTACATTCATAGTGGCAGTGACATTGTTGTGACTTCTCAGTCTCATGTGACCGCCCCAGAGAGAGAGCAGAGCATTAACCATGGATAATGTTTGACCTCCAGAAACAGATACGCTCAACCCCAACGTCTCCATCACCTACTTCCCCACTTTATCAGTGGTCTTGGGTAATAGAAAGCCCTTTAATCACAGGGCCCTAAACTCAAAGACCCCGATGCCCCTGCAGCTATAGCAGGGTGCACCGTGCACACACATGTAGACACACACACAACCCCCATCAATCACACCAGACTCCTCCCCTAACCTCTCCAAGTTGTGTGTTCATACATCAGCGGAGGGTTGGGGGGTTGGGGCCGAAACATCTCAAGCTTTTTCACCAGTAAAATTCCGTCTTCTCCTGAGACTACCTGAGGAACAGATAGTAATTTTCCACACAATATGCTCTGTGTTGTTGAGGGGCTTTTAGACTGCTGGCTGGAATCACTGCAGTGTCAGGGGAGTATGTTACCATAAATATATATCGTCAAAATGTTGATTTGTAAATAACCTTACCACTCAGTGTTGTGCCTGCTTGACCCTGTAAAAAGTTACATGACTATAATATTCAGTTTATGGCCTTAGATTCGACTTTCATATTTTTTGTGCTATTTTTTTTCAAAAGAACAACCTGTCTTCATGTGCTAGCCAAAGAGTTAATACCATATACTGTATGTTGATTCAGACAGTGGACTTATTTCTCATGTCATAGCCCTCTTCCTCTCTTGTCACCTCCTGCCTGCCTCTCTACTGTCAGCTTTGAAATAAGGACAAAAAAAGTTGGAAGTTCAACAATGTCATAAATACACAGCAAATAGCAAATCATCACAAGAGTCTAATGAGCAACAAAATGTAAATGATTTACAAATCTGTTGTAAATTACGTTTTACAATGGTGCTTCCTTTATCAACAAAGATTAGCCGATGATTCACATACTTTCTTTTTTAAATAAGCGGTTTCAATTTTACCATAAAGCTGAAGAATTATTTGTCACCTCTCAGATCAACTTATAATTCTTGTTGCTTGTGAAGTTGCCACCAGATCTTACCAATGAAATCTGGCAGTAAAATCATTCATTACTGTGGAGCAGAAACTCACAATGAATAAGACCCAGCTTGAATAAGACCCGTGCTGCATTCCAGACACATTAAGTCTTTTGTTTTCAGCAAAGAAAAGGTCAAATTAGTCTCACAATACAGTGAAGGTCACTGACCCCTCACACTGGAAGCAGTGATGGAAAGTCACCGGATGCAGTTATTATTATTTACAGTACTTCTGGCTGATTCCCAGAGTAGTGACTGTAGTTTTCTGAGAACTCTGACCGGTGTGTTTTTCTTGTTAAAGGTGATATTAGGACACCCAGACTCCCCTCGTGTGTTTATCAAAGGAAAGGAAAGACCCCCTTTACTATTGTTTGATTGTTCATACACCGTGTGAATGAATCTTTGCTCATGAGTGTGTGTGTTTGTGTGTGTGTGTGTGTGTGTGTGTGTGCGTGTGTGTGTGCATGTGCGTGTGTGTGTGTGTGCATGTGCGTGTGTGTGTGTGTATGTGTGTGTGTGTGTGCATGTGTGTGTGTGGTGTGTGTGCGTGAGTGTGCGTGTGCACATGTGTGTGTATCTTTATATGTTTGTCTACAATGTTAATGTTGTCATTAATGTTAATTGATACTATGTGATCAAATATGTATATTTAAGTGGGTGTTACTGTGTGTATGTGTCTTGTTTCTGTTTCTGTTTGTCTTCGTGTGTGTGCATTGGGTGCAAGTGATCCACAGGACTGTTTGTTTCTCCGGACCGTGTTTATCCAGTGGGCCAATAATAGGAGTCTTTCATTACGGCTCCTTTCTGTGGCTAAGACGAGAAGGAGGAGGGGTCAAAGTCATAGCTCCTCTCTGCTCGCGCTGCCAAAAACCACAGCCGGGCTTCCAAAGTAATGCTCTTTCTAGGAAACCCAGCTCCTTGAATAGCCCATCAGGGGGGCCATTTTAGGTCAAAAGCGGGGAACGCTGGAGAAATGCATCCAGAATTCTTGATTATCCTGCCGGGGGAGTCTTGCTTGGCAGTTTGTGGATATATCTTTTGGTTTTTAACAGTGAGGAGTACTATTAATAATGACAATGGCTTTTATTTTGTTCTAACTTCTCCTCTAAAGCTTAAAAAGTCTCACTGTGCCATCCCATTTCTGGCACAAGCCATCTTGTGGGATCAATACAGAGGGATAAAATAGTCTCAGGTTACTGTATCGTCTCTCTCGGCCTCCTTCACCTGACATATGATGGTAGTGTGACGGTGTTGTCTTCGCTCCTAGCCCTTACAGTACCCTCATTGTTTCTACAACAGCAGAGATAGGAGGCACTTTTGTTTTTGTTTTTTGACCTCTAACTGTCCCTCATCGTTCCTGGACGTCACACTTACGCCCACTGTGTAACACAAACATGCCAATGGGAGATCCAGATGCCCACGACTGGTTCCCATAGTCCTGTGGGACATCCTGTGAACTCAGATTTCTCTGAAACGGCGCTGAATATATGGAACAGACATGCACCCACCAAAATGTTGGTGCTGCTGACCACATTGTGTAAGAGGTGTTACATAAAAGTCATGTGACTGCATGTGAACTGCTGAGACCTCCAATCTGAAACACACATGTGTACAAATGGATGGAACCAATGAAGTGACAGAATGGACGCATGGAAATTACTCCCACAGTAGCGGATTGAGTTAAAATGGTGGTGGCAATGATTGCTGAGAAAATCATGATGGATAAGGCAGAGCACTGAAACATTTATTGGGCTTACATTAAAGATATCGGAGGTCATCATTTTTCTAGGTTCAGTATTTAGTTTTTTTTTTGCATGCATCTTGTTTTGAATCAAGAAATGTCACAAATTTAAGGAATGGTTTTATTAAACTTAAGTCCTGGGGGAAGAGAAGTAGTCTAAAGAACCATATCATAGGTGCTCAGTTTGACCAATAGGACTGGTTTCTGTAGAACTAGTCATCTGGCTGGTCTGCTGAAAGATGATGTCACAGCCCAGCCACCCATCCATGTGAATGTGGCCAGGTGTTAGTCATTGTGGGAATGGCTTTCAGGAATATTACATAAACCCAAAGGCAATGGAGGCCATTGGAGGCCAAATGTCTGTGCAGGCTAGAGGAGGTCTGCTGGCATGTCTGTCTGCACCTCCCTGTCCCCGGGGGCCTCACAGGTTGATAACACTTCAGGAAAACATTGTTGGTTTAGGGTATGTCCAGTAGCACACGGTCAGTTATGCAACCATGCTGCCCTGCAAAGTGAGAAGTAGGTATGTTTTCATTAGGTCTGCAGCTCTCTTTTTTGTTGGGCCTGTTAAGTCTACATTTCAACCCTTTTGTTGCAGTAGGAATTATGTGCGATCATCATATATATCTTGCTGTGCAATACCTGCTCTGAGCTATAGATGGTAAAATACATAAACCACAAATTGTGGAGTAACGGATGCTTAGACTTTGCTCTTTACATTAAGAGATAATTGGAATTAATAATTGTAAAATTGGATTGGTTGCCCATACACAGTAATGAATAGCAAAAGAGACAAGATCACAACGCATGAGAAACATATTGCAATGGCAGCAGTAATACTAACACACACACAGTGTTTAAGACCAAGTCATTCAATCATTAAAGAGCCCCTCCAATGAAAATAGAGTTTTTAACCTTGTCTATATGATGTTTTTTATATAATTCAAAACATATCATGAGCCATAAGCAGTCAATGCTATGACTGAGTATTTCCACCTTGGAACTGCAGCCTAATAATGACAGTCTCAAAAAAAAAAACTTCAGACAGCCACTTCATACGTCACATACCTAAGGAATCAATTCTGTCAACTCGCAGGGAGGCAAGAGGAACCAAAAAACCTTGTCAGTACAGAGAGCGAGAGTTTGAATGTAAGAGTCGATGTGCTTCCAGCCCCTCTCAAAGTTTTTTTTTTAACCTTTTATTTACCTGGACAACATCTTTTTAAACACATTTACATTTTACTCATTATTTATTTCACTTGTTATTTACTATATAGGACCTCACAGGAATTTTATCCTTGGTAGCATCAAACCTGCCAGCTCCATGTTTATCCTCTCATCTCTTTGTTATTCAGGTAACTGGGGAGGAATATGTTCAAAACAAACCACCCTGCGTAACGGCCAGACCGCCACCCTGAACACAGGTCTGGTCACAATTCAGAACTTCGGACAGTTCCTGCCTACTCGACTCGTCCAGCTGACCTTTGCTCACGAACTCGGCCACAGCCTGGGATCTCCGGTCAGTCGCCATCCTTTACGCCACACCCTCTTCACCTTAATCTGCCTGATGCTCAGAAATCCACTCAGTCCACTTTTAGACAATCAAACCGAACACTGCACTGCACACAATGTCTTCCCTGACACGCACCTGGTATTTGAAATTTTAAGAATACAAGCAACTAAATGATGATGTGAAGTGTTTTCAACACATTCCACCCTGAAATAGAAACCAAATATTGTATCCTTTCAAAATTGGAAACCTCAGTTTTAAAGGGATAGTTCAGGTTTGACCTAGGGGTGTGCGAGGTGTTTATACATGGTCAATGTATTACCTATAGTAGATTCAGAGTAGCAGCATAGGTGTGCTTGTGTGTAGGACTCTGGTAGTTAAATGCATTTTTGTTTAAAGTGGCTAAAACATGTTTCTGCAGCTGGCCCCGTCCATAGCAGCACATCGGTCATCTTTTGTCAGGTAGCTGTCACGACCAGGCAAGGACTCAGGACACAGATGCAGGGTTCAATTGACTGTTTTTATTGTCTCGTCAGAGTGCCTCCAATTGGAGAAATAAATAGGCTATAAACCTAGCCCTCACTATACATGAGGCTATGAAAAACATCAAAATAATAATCACTCCACTAAAGGAGGAAAACACAATGGGCTATTAAACATTATCTGTAAATAAAAAAACTCCCCAGCCAACTGGAGGCTCTACTCTATAATAGGTAAGTAAACAAAAGATCACTCCACACGGAGGAAACAAAAGGCTATGAAATCCTTAACTATGAAACTAAACTAGGATATAAACTTGCAACTCAAAACTCTCACTTGGAGGAAGAAGAACACAAAACTTCAGGAACGCTGTGACGAAGAGCTGGGGTGCACGCACGCAGACGAAACACACTGGCACAAGACAAAGGGAGACACCGACTATTTAAACACTGGGCAAGGGGAACAGGTGAAAACACTCAGAGGGCAATCAGACCGAGACACATGAGGAAGGGCAAGTGACCTGAAACGAGAGGAGAGTTACTTTTCAAACTAAAACAGGAAATGACAAGACAAAACACGGAGACGGGACAAAACCCTACCTAGACCTCAATGCGGTGTGACAGTAGCTTCTCTGAACTAGTAGTGCACTGATCCGAATCTACTGCAGGTAATAATTTGACTATGTAAAAGTACCTCACATAACCCAACTTCAAATAACTCGAAGTATTACTTTAAAACTTTAAAATATCTTTTAATGTCATACAGCTGACAAGCAGTGTGGGGCAAGTAACTAAAAAATCTAATCAATATGTCATTACAGACTGTCTATTTGAAAAAGCAACAACTCATGAATGTAAACAATTATTTACATCACTTGTTCAGAAAGAAACTGTAAATGAGACATTGTGGTTTAACAGGCAACCACAGTAGCCTATGTGGCTAGCTTAATGTTATTCTTCAGACACTCTTAGGAAGGAGACAAGATGTATTAAAAGCCTTCAATCAGGCATATTGGTTGAAAAACCACCCGATTTCAACCCCACAAAGTCTTCATCAAGGTGGAAACAGTAAAAACTGTAAAAACAGATTGTCAACACCTGGTACTCTTTTTATACAGCACTGGGGAAGTAGCAACAATGAAAAAACATAACTAAACTACCAACCCAATCACATCAACATTAATATCATAAAAGAGAAAAAGATAATAACAATATTGCGAAATATCTGCTACCTGATTTGTGCATTTGCTCAGCTGAGTGTAGTATTTCAGATGTCTGTTAAACTTTGCCCAGTTTTACTGTAAATCCCCTCCAGGGCCTCAGTGACCAGGAGTTCAAACATGTTAGTCCTACACGAGAGCATGCGGGTTTGTGTAATAATGATATATTGATATATTGATATGTATTAATGATAATTCAACACGATGAATCTCTGTGATTCAGATTTTAGACTTACTTCGAATATTCTCACAAACATGGCTGTTTGCACTACACCAGAACAAAGTGTCTGTGAATGATTCACTTATGTGGGCATTGGAGGCCTTGGCTTTTAATGACTGGTTTGTTTGATATGAACCCTTGGCTCACTATCACTGGATAATCGGAAATGAGGGAGCAGGAGGATCTCTTATATTCTCTGGTATATTCTCACAAGCTAGCCCATAAAAAATCCTCCACTTCTACCATATCAACACACAGCTTATGTGTACACACAAATGCATGCACCTCTCGCCATTTGTGACAACTGCAAACACCTGCAACCTTTGTCCCACTGCGTAAAATGCCAGCCGTGCTTCTCCATCTCCTTTCACCCTGGCTTCTGTTATTCACACTTGCTCAGACCAAAGAGTCCTCTGAGGCGTTCCTGAGCAGATTAGTTCTGCTATGTCAGACCCCGCAGGCTTTTTATAAGTTAAACTACCATGAGTTCTCCTGCTCTGGCCTGGTGTCCAGGCGCCTGTGAAAAGGCATGTCACATTGTTTTCAGGCCAGACAGGTTGGAAAAAGCACATGAATAGCTTCACCTGAGAGTTGTGGTAGGTATGGTGGCGGGCTTCAGTTGTCTGACCAACAGTCCAAAATCTAACAATGTTCAGTTTACAATCATAGCATCAAAGCATCATATTCTCACATGGGAGTAACCGGAACCAGATAAACAATAATAAATAAACAGTTAAATAATAAAACTGCCGATTAAAGGTGGAGGAAGCAATTCTGGAGAGAGACTGTTGATATTCGAACTCAACAGCAAAACAAATACACCCCTCCCTTCAGTGCTCCTTTAGAAGCTCAGTCCCAGGGCACAGCAACAACACAATGGTGGAATTCATCCGATGCGTCTTGGTGGATGCTCTTTCTCATAGCTGAAGCAAAACAAACCTTATAATATAAAATGTCATGAAACAAACAACATGAACACAAACAATGGAGTAAAAACTAGCAAGAAATAGTTGTTTAGATTGTTTGTGACAGCTATCACAAGAACAACAGCACAAAATAAAAGCGACCTAGTGGCTTTATGAAATGTAACAAAACTAAATAACTAACTGACTAAACAGAGCAACCTCTGCATCCGTCTTCATGCCTTTCTCTCAGGGTTTCTCCACCATATTCGGACTGGCCATCACGACTACCGGGACAATCCCGGTGGGCCAGTGCAACGTCAAAACATCTCTAAAGTTTTTACCCACACCGTCAGTCTCTTGAGTGGCCCTCCCTGTGTGCCTGTCATTCAGGCTGCAGGCCTGTCCCAGTGGATAAGTCCAGTGCTGAAGTTCTTTCACAGTCCAACCATACAGTCTCCACCATTGGAAAGCTTTTTCTTTTTTCTTTTTTTAAATTTTTGTTCCTCTGACCGTCTACTCTTTGGCTGTTCCTCGGCCATCTCTCCTTCTTGACAATATGGTTATATTGTGTGGTACACACCATAATCACACTCCCGTTATTTACCCTATTTTGCTCCCCCTCCCCTCTTCTCTTCTTCTTTCCCTTGTCTTGTGCACAAGCATCAATGCCCCCTATTGCTGACTAGTCGGAATAGTGTTGTGTGACTTGGTCTGCAACACTTTGTTTATTTCACATTTATAAAGCCAGAGCTGTGTTGCAACACCAGATTTTTTTCAGCACACACACAGAACAGACAGCTAGTGGACCAAGAGGAGAAATTCACTGAATTTGCCAAAAACTATGTTGGATTAGAATCGCTCATTCTTCCTTTTCTTAGTGCTTCCCACCATTTTTGTTGTCAGTCTGACTGTAGCAGTAAAGGAGGAACAGTGTTCGTGAACAGTGCAGCTCGTTAATTTTAGGTTAAAGTCTGCAGAGTTTTTAGCTGAGTGACCACAACATGGCAAAGCACGACATTACAGTGGAAACCTAATTCAAGACTAAGTTGCTTTATGAGATGTGGCTGAAAATTTGACACAAGTTAACAGAAGACAAAGATAATAAAATAGATATACTATTCTTAAGAAACTGCAAAAACATCTGCACAGCTGTGGCGTAGTGCTCTGCCAAACCCAGAACCGAAGATATTGACAAACATAGTGAGCACTATAAAATTAGCACTTCATTCACATCCATCAAACTAACCAAGGACAGATGCAGAAACACCCACATCCGAACATGTTCTCTCTGCATGTGTCCATGTTAACTTCAAGTCTACGCTTTGGTTTCTTAATTCACCCGTGAGTTTGACATCCAGAAGATACTGATACCACTGATAAAACCATCACACCATCATATACACGCTGACATGCAGGGAGGAGGCGTTCAAGGGAATGTTTCACAAATGTATCTCGGAGTAAAGCTGGAGGAGCTCTTTGTTCTGTCCCTGATGTCCCACATATGGAACACGACATTCCTCTGCTCTTTCAGGGCCATCAGATTCCAGAGAAAGCTTTTGACTGTCGAGAGGCTCCACTTTGGATTTGAAACTATAACAAAGATAACTTTAAAAGTCAGAAAGGATCTGTAATATAGCTGCTGTTACAGGCACCATCTTCCACTGTCCGTGGACATTACTGAAAACATTTTGACTGTCTGCAATTTCCTATAACAGGCTACAGCAACAAATGGAGTTAATTCCATCATCTGTGGTTAAGAGGAAAACAAACTGTTTCAGCATGGGTTAGATCATTTGTTTCCCCCTGCTGTTTCAATTTCTATTCACTCAGTGTCAACATGCACAATGTATCAAGAGAGATATAATTTGAACTTTCATTTTCTAATATTTTGTCTGTGTTTCAGCACGACGAGGGCTCTAACTGCGGGAATCTTGGTTCCTCTGGTGGTAAAGGCAGGTACCTGATGTTCCCTCACGCCACAGATGAGGTGCGTGAAAACAATGAAAAATTCTCCCACTGCAGCATCAAGCACATCAGCAAGATGCTTAAGTTGAAGAAGGACGACTGCTTTGTGGGTGAGGAGGAAAACGTACGACAACATGCACCTGCATGTTGCCTGTTGAGCTGTGCAGATCTGGGCCAAATGTTTACACTGTCATTATTCATTGTAAATAGTTAGGCCTATAGTTTGTCTTCACTTTGTGTGTCTTTACTTGTGTATGCTTATCTGCTTGTCTGCTCTTTTTTTTTTTTTCGGGCCAGTCAGCAATCAGCCCATCTGTGGAAACCAGATTGTAGAGAAAGATGAGGAGTGTGATGTCGGTCACAACGACACAGACCCCTGCTGCTACAGCGCTAAAGAGCCTGTAGGAGTCCAGTGTCGCCTCAAGCCTGGTAAAGTCTGCAGGTACTGGATACGTAAAAGTATACACACCATCAAAGTGTGCATAAAATGTAATAAAAGGTGATCATAAGACGTTGGCATTGCTTTCAGTTTGAAAGGTAGCATATTTCTTTCATCATTTTTAATTAAAACAGCACATCGCATTCGTGTCAACCTTTCATCTGAACTATTTTTTTCTGACATCCTATCTTCTAGGTGTGTCTCTATTTTGTTTATGTGTGGCTCTCATGTGTATCTGTCGCCCTCACTGTATGTTTACGACGTCCTTTCACTCATCCATCCATCAGTCCGAGTCAGGGCCTGTGCTGCAGTCATGATTGCGGGTTTAAGCCGGCCAGTCAGACCTGTGATGAGGAAACTGACTGTCAGAGGGAGAGTGTGTGTTCAGGCCTTTCCCCGCTCTGTCCCGAGCCAAGCGCCAAGGAAAACTTTACCGTCTGCAGTCAGGGCACACGTGTCTGCCTGAACGGGGTGAGGCAACCACATCCACTACACCACAGTGTGACAATACGGTTCAACTCTGTTGCCCAACAACAAGGCAAAGTGTGCAGCGATGTTGCAAAGTTGGTCCTGAAAGAAAAATGTATTAGCTATGTTGCATTTCAGATCATTCTTGAACTTGGAAACAGCCGATGCCAAAACAGTCACACAGTAAGGTCCATTTAGATGCTGTTCTGGAGCTTTTAGTTATATCACACTAAGTCTTCTAATACCTTTATGTAAAGGAGGATACCAACAGCTTTATCTATATGAAGCCATTTTAAAAGCCATGCTACTGTGCGTCTATTGGCTGTTTCCTGACTGTTTTCTTATTATCGTTGTTCTGCAAAAATAATTCTGTATCATCTTTAAGTGAAATTCTGAAGTTGACAATCGGGTATTTACCAGTAGATTCACCATCCAGTGAGCGTATTCACGACCCACTTTATTCGTGAACAAAAACAGTATTACAACACAGAATTACTGAGAAGATCTGTGATAACACAAGACAATAGTGTGTAACACCCTCATTAGCTACAGATGATAAATTGTCCTCTGGGGAGGAATTCACTCCAACTGTGAATGTTTCTTCATTGCGTAATATTTTTCTCCAGAGGTGCTATGTGTGCTAACTTCTCATGACCTGATCCATGAACATGGAACTAGAGAAAGGCTTTTGTGGGGATGTGTGAATGTAAAGATCTAAGAAAACGGATCCACAAATAAAGGTGTTGTTTTGTTTATAATAGCCAAATGAATGCTAAATTATTTCAAATGACTTAATGTTTAAGTCCTGAGAATCAAATGAGTGAACAGAAAACAGGAAAACAGGCTTGAACTAAACACAACTTCTAAAACCACATATGTGATGCACATTGTCCGTGTGTTTGCCCAAGATTAAACTGCCCTAGATTCCCAAAAGCCCGGGTAAATAAATTTGAGCAGTGTTTCACTGCTGTCGCTGGTCCAGAGTTTAAAGTCTGTTTCACCTGGGTGTGGTTTTATTGCACCTGTAACTGCACCCAACAGTGACGTCACGACGTACTGACACACCCTGATGTACACCTCTACATCTGAGCGGCACTGGAGCTCAGCAACACACGATTTAACTACAAATCTTGTACACTTATGTATATTGTTTTTATATTATTTTATATACTGTAATGCACCAACATAATTTACAGAAGGTCCATCTCCTCTCTTCCTCTGCTTCTCTCTGCAGGTCTGTGCTGAGTCTGTGTGTGTGAAGCACCGCCTGCAGCAGTGTGACTGTCCAGGAGACTCCATGAAGGAGAAATGCCACATGTGCTGCCAGCAGCTCGGTAACCATGAGCCCGTGTGTGCTCCAATACCGAGGAATGTGTTTACACTTTGTGGCCCAACAAAACAGCCTGGGTCAATTTGTACGGAGGTCACCCACATACATTATTGTTTTCCATTAGACAACGTCATAAGCACTACAAGAGACGCCGTCTGATGTGATGGTCATGTAGGTGGAATAACATGTTTTGTAAAGGAGATTTGAATATCACATTTTAGCAAGAAATGTGAGTGGGCAAACTTTTTATTCAGGAGTCCGGTATCAGTGCTTTAAAGAGGTTAAATACACCTTTTGCATTATTAAGTGCTTTAGTTTTGTAGACACAATTGTACAAAAATTCTACTACCACCAGGGGATGTCATTGACAGAAATTTTCACATTCAACACAAATATTTATTCTTCTGTGTTGTAATTATTTTTTCTTGCTGTCTACGGCAGATAAGCCTGAGACTTGTGCCAGCACCACCTCCTCCGTGCTGTCTCGTCACTTTCAGAGAAAAGCGATGCCGCTGGTCGGTGGGGCTCCGTGCTCTGGAAACCGAGGTTACTGCGATAAATTCCACGTGTGTCGCCTGCTGGATGCAGACGGCCCCATCGCACGACTGAAGAACTCTTTTTTCCAATTTGAGGACTTCAGTGATGTAGCAGAGTGGATGAAGGTGAAGGTTTCTTATGATTAGTCTGATAGTATATTCAGCATTCAGACATTAAGCCGTGGAGGGCATGTCACAATGAAGGTGAAGAATATTGATTTCTTAATTCTTAAATGGAATTACAGGGAACTGCTACAGTCAGGCATGTCTCCTATAATTCAGTTTAAAAAGCACAATTGCATAAAATACAGTAATACTGTAATGACTGACTCCAATTAAAGTCTAATCCTAAATTTAGATGAGATATTTTACTTTCTTTTTAATTTACTTTTTCAAAAACGTTTATTCTCAATTAGGTCGTCATGTATTAACTTTATAGATTTCAAGCTGCCCCACTGACTCAAATGTCCTGATCAGTGGTTATTGGTCATCAGGTCAGACTAGAGGCTTCAGCATTACTATTATGTGGTTGAAAAATGATTCCTCACCTCGTGCTATAACTGAGGAAATCATCTTTGTAAGGAAGCAGCAGATGTTTGTCTGAGGTCACATCTTCGGCGCAGCTCACTGTGTTTGTTAAACTTCCTGTCAGGATGCTCAGCTGTCTTCAGTGTTTAAGTTGTAGCTGCCTTTGAGGTTCAGTTTCTCACGACAGCATGGAGAATCAGGAATGCCCATTTGGGTTTAAGAGCACTGCAAGGATCAGCCATCCGCTTCACTGGAGTCAGAATTGACCCTTCGCTTCATTGTGTTTTTTCTCCATACCTGTGTCGCTGACTCTTATGCGTGAAACTACTGATGACACTGATCCCGTTGGCTGATCCTTCTAATCAATCAATCTTTTGTAGTGATGTAGTTCCCCAAAGATGCAAGTAATTAAACAAGTAATGGACATGGGAGTGCACTACATCATACCAAGTATTTACTGCATTGCATAAGTGTGGGTTTTCAGTGCAAGTTCATAAGTTCAACCAAGAATATGACACCAAAAACATTACATCAAGTAATTGTTTTTTTTGTTTTTTTGTTGTTTTTTCAAACTCAACTTGTTGCAAACTGCCCTAACGTTGTCTTAAAAGTGTGTGGGTAGTAGTAGCAGTGAGCTACTTTGACAGAAATGACCATGTTTAAGTCTTGACATGTTGAATTTCAGTGCATTTAATGCAATATTTAATCATATTTGACTCAATAAACATTGTGCAGGTTGTTAGTATTACAACATTACTCAATGAAAACAGATGTTTACAGCTCAAGTGATGATCTAAATGTCATTGGTTGCATTTGTGAATAATTCCAGCTGCACTTCCAGTCAATGGAAGAAGCACTGATGCTAACTCAGCGGGGTGAAGGGGAACACTTAAATAACTTGCCAAACATCTGGCTAAGAAATACAGTCAACCAACAGTAATCCAAACTGGAGTAACACAAAAAACCATAATGACAAGACAATGTTTGTACAATAGTCTTTTTCATTTGTCTTTCTCCGCAGGCTCATTGGTGGGCCATCCTGCTGGCTATCCTGACTCTGTCTGGAGTGATGGGCTGCACCATCTGCCTCTGCAGCCGCACCCTCAATACCGCTGACCTGGAGTAACCTCTGACCTTCTGGGAACTATCCTCACAATGACGCACAAATTCATTTAGATTAATTTATGAGGGGTTTTGAAGTGTCAAGGCCACATTGAGGAGATTCCTTTTTTCAACTTTGTTCCACATCTGAAGTGGGTGGTTGAGTGGTTTGCAGGTGACTCGGGAGGACACACCTGCTCAGTGCCAGTTTTTCACTGACTGATATCTTTCGACGTCATTATACATCTGTCATTTCTTTTCCTCGTGTGACTTGTCTGTTTACATTTCAGCAAGTGGTGAGTGTGTTCTACAACGTGATGCATGTGTTGTGGAAAACATCGCTGCTGCTGCTGCTGTGGGTCCATCAGCCCTCTCAGAGGAGCCACATACTGTAGCAGTGCACCTACAGTGATTTAAAGGGCCATCTGTCCCTACAAAGGCTGGTGGGATTTAGCCTGCGATGTCCTTACTGCTGTGTTTGAACTTGAGCGCTAATTTGAGCCTAGATGAACATCCAGCTGTCCACCACAGCGACACTTTCAATTTTAATATTGTCACAGGAAGAAGAGATACCAAGTCGAAACTGATGGTTGACAGGGCCTTGGGTCTAAATGATGTCAGTTGTCTGAAAAAGGTTCTGATGTTTAAGTTAATAAAACGACAGTAAACACATTTATCATCTCAATGAGCAATTGTTTACCATTTATGATTTGCAGCGGTTATAAGTTACTTCAGCACATTTACTCAGGTTCTGTGCTTTTTACCAAGTACTTGGACTACTACTACTACTACTACTACTACTACTACCACTACTACTACTACTTAACTACATTTCACCTCAGAAGGAACTTTTGTACTTATTACACCACAATTTTTATTTGACAGCTACATGAATTACTTCAAAAATTGCAAGCAGTAGCTAGTATTTTAGGTAGTTTCTTGTCTAAACTTCTTAGGTTGACTTAAAGAAAGAGAACAGCAAAGATTAAGGAAAAGTCCAGAAAGAAAAACAATGAACAAAAATTGACATAACTATCTAACTGTGTATAAATGAATTGGAACTACATTTAATACTGATAGTACTGCTGTGCTTTTACTGGTTGCAGGACCTGCTTGTAAAGGAGTGTTTTCACATTGGGTCACCTTGACACAGTCATATCAAGACAGTGGCCTCACAACTGCAAGGACATGAAGAAACTGCAGAGTTTATTTTGGGTGATTTAATAATTCCTTGACTTTTTATATCAAAAACAGTTTCATTTGTCAAAATATTTGCATCAAACACATTTTTCTTTGATAATACATTCCACAGTAATAACAATGAGCTGTCGAATGATTAAGGTCAGGATAAAACTAAATTTATTATTTCATTCCCTAAATAAAATGTTGTGCTCAGAATGACCTCTCAGATGGCAGTTTTGGTTTATTAAAGAATTTATACAGCACAGTGAATATTTACAAATACGTACAAAAGATTATAGGAATCCATATTTTACAGATTAAGTTCATCCAGAGGTAAAAATATATAACTAACAGTGTTCCGTACTAAAAAACCTATCATAAGTATTATGGTATTTACATTAAATCTACTGTACAAGTACCTTTGTTTAGCAATGTCGTCCCCTGTTTTCAGTGCAAAGGTGAAACATTTCCTCTTTTATAAAGTAGGTGGAAATGAAGTCACAATGATTACAGTACCGATCTCTAAAGAGCCGAGGTTTAGGTGATGCTCATAGGACTGGAAATGTTTTTATGAACTTTTGAGAAGTCTCAAGCACAGAGGAAACAAAGACAACAAAGTGGCATCACTGACATTAACTCCGCCTTCTACCTCACACGGATCACAACATACCTCATAAAGTTTAGAAGAAAAATGGTCGACAAAATGTCAGGCATTTCTTTGAGGTAACAGCTTCATAGTAACATGAGCACCAGTAAAAATGTTGTGAAAGTGATCGAAACGCCATCTTTTGAATGTTTAGGTGGTTCAGTAAAGGTCAAATAAGTTCACAGAAAAATGAAAGGAAAAATACAGCAACAAAGCGCTACGTTAAGACAATTTCATTTTGCAACAGCTTACTTCTAGCGACCGTTCAACGTAAGGCACACTGATCCAGGTCCCACAGTCACGTATAGTGCTGAGAGCCACAGTGGTGAATGCTCTGTTAGGTTATGCATTAGTCTGATAATGTATGAAGGTAATACAATTGTACCCTATTGCATAAAACACCTTAAGAAGGCAACAGTCTGCAGGACATCATTCTTCACAGTGCTATAAATATGAAATGTGCATGTGACTGAATAGTATCCATCTCTACCAAAGACAACGGCATTTACTTTTCGTACAAAATGATGTTACAGTTATGTGTCATAAAAACTTTTTTCTTTTTTTTTTCTTTTTTTTTTTTTACAAAATATTACACAGTAATTTACATACACATTGTTTAAATAAGAAACAAACTTCTGTGGATATGTACAAAGCGGTGAGGGTTTTGTATAATTTGAGAAATAAAATAAGTTACAGATGTATAAATTATTTACTAAGTGCTGAAATGGACCGGAGGGCTTTCAACAGTTGGGTCTTTTCTTCTGAGTCAGTGGTTCTCCAGAGTCACTCTGCAGACAAAGACAAAGTTCATTGTCATTTATCAGCATTAACAGCAATATCAAAAGCACTGACGTAGGGTGAACAGAGTCTAACTCACCTTTTTTGAGTTTGTTTCCGGTCTGTCCTCCATGCATCCTTACATTTAACAAATGTGACCTCCTGTTTTAAGCTGTGAGTTTCAGGGTCTTTTACACAGAACACCATCCTGCAAAGGAAATTCATGACACATAGTTGATCGATATGAGCACTTGACCCATTCATTCCATTGATGGCAGTACAATGGTTGACTTTTTTTTCTTTTTTACCTTTTTCACAATAATGCTAAAACAGTGTGCAATACCTGTATGACATACTTACTTTTGCTGGGTCTCGCCAGCTCGGATGCGGATTTTGTGAACCTCCATGTTAGCGCTGTCGGAGTCACCGGACCACCAAGAGGAAACCATCTTCAACATGTTGGAGGCCGACCAGCCGTTTGTCTCCTCCCATTTAAACGTCAACATCATCAGGTCACCGATATCCTCCTCTGTCACCAGCAGGAACGAATGTGTCCTATTTGTGGCTATTTTTTCCTTCCTACCAGACACAAACAGAGAGACATGTTAGTGCTCTGCTCCAAGCTAGTGATATTTATCTAGTCTTGAAACCTTTGAACCATAAACAGTGATAAAACCATTATATATCACTGTTTATGGTTTCTTCATGCTGTTGCTGTTTTCTTAGGCTACTGTGCAGCTGTTACATATAAGTTCAGAAATGCAAGTCACGGTGCTGTAATTCTCTTTAATACTGATTTTTAAAGGGCCCACTTACAGTTTAAGCTCCAGATTTTCAGCCTCTCCTTTTGTTCCGTACAGCGACACAGTGATGGAGGGCTCCATCTCTGAACGGTTCACTTTACTGGAGAAATGCATCTTCAGCTGATAGTGGTAGACTGCAGAGCGAGAGAACATTTGGGAAACTTTAAACATGCCTGTAGGCTGCTGCAGCTGCAAGCTGCTCCAGTTTAGTTGGTTTAGCTAAACTAAGCTGCGAGTGGTCAGACCGCTGCAGCCAGAACATCCAGGATTTGAAACACTACTAAGCTCAGAAAGTCTTTAATTCCTTAAAACTTTTTTATAACAGAGTTTTTTTTAAGTTTAGCCATTGGACCTTGTTGGGCCTTTGCAATATTATTAGTTAATTTGACTCTAGGTACGTAAGAAAATACAGCAGCAGTTTTTATGTGACAGCAGTGATGAGTTGCTTTGAAAGTCCACTGACCTCTGAAAGGCATGGAGGCTCGGGTATTGGTGTACATCTGAACGTTGCGCGCCTTGCGGACTTTGCTAATGTCGTAGCCCACCGTGTTGCAGCGGCCTTTGCGGCAGCTGAGACACATGCCGCGGTTGAACATGTCGTTGCTGCCGCACCTGTAGGCCTTGGCTGCATCCTGCTCATTCAGCAGAGAGTCGATGAAGAGGTGGACCGAGCGCTCGTGTTCACACTTGATTGCATCAGTGATAGCTGAGGAGGAAAGAGGGGAATATATTTAAACACGTGCTTCTTAAAGAACACTGAGAAATAAATTATAATATTCCAGTTTGTTACATTTCTATTTGTTTGCTGACCACACGTCGCTAAATAAACTTTATCTTACTTTACCTACCAACCTATTCAGCCAGGATGACTGATATTGTATCTGACCTTTCCTCTGCCATGTTCAGGGCCTTCTGTTTATTTTCAGCCCGGTTTGAATGGGGTCCTTGTGCAACTGACAGCAACAATGTTCACTGCTAAGACAGATTAATAACAAGCAGCAAGTAGCTGCAGTCTTACTGAAGCTGCTGGACTGTGTGTAGACTAATAATCACAAAAATGTGCATTGTAAGCTGTTTGTAACAGATGCATCATTGTTTAATGGCAGGTTATACTGGCTGAAGTGGAGGTTTTAATTACTTAGAAGAAATATTGAATAATACATGATTATGTTGAGCCAAAACAGAAGAACCACATTCTGGCTGCAGTTAACATGTTTTAAGCTTAGTTACATTTGAATCGTTTGCATTTTACAGATGAATTTGAAGTTATCTTTACCAAATATCCCGAAGTTAGCGATCTTCTCCAGGGCCCCCCTGAGGTTGCAGCCCGGCTGGAAGCTGCCTCCATTGGGGTAAATGTCCACATGGCCGACAGGCTGCTGGATCCCAATGCTGAGACCCAGGGAGCCCCGTGTGAAGGTGTGTAAGACGTCCACAAAGTAAGCGTCGTCTGGTGAGAGGCGCCTGTGGGCGTGCTCCCCCTCAAAGTCAGGCCCAGCTGGGTCCAGACCTGCAGACAGAGACAGGAAGAGACAACAATGAATTAACCAATCCATTTACAATTAAATGATCTTTGACCAGATCAAAATGCAAGATTACAAGATGTGCAATTAAACCTTATGTGTCAGAATGTTGTGTTTTGTTTACCAGTTATTCTTCCAACTTTATTGGTCGCATGGCTGCCAGCAAATCCAGCCACGTGAGCCCCAAGGCTGTAACCAATCAGGTGAATGTTCTCAAGAGGCATGTTGGTGGTTTCCTTTAAAAAGAAAAAGAAAAGTTTAAAGTTATAAATTTTAAGAAGCTATTACTAAAGCCCATGTTGTGGCAAAGATATCATTCAAAAAGCAATTCATGACAAGTACAAGTCTTTACTAAGTTTGCTTTTTAATGAACAGATAGTGAAAAAGCCATCTACTCCTCAAAAATGGATATTGACAGGTGGCACATGTGAATGACACCTGTGACATTTTGCTCCCACTGACCTCGATCCAGTCGATGAAGCGAGCGATCTCCTGCCCCACTGCTTTGGTGTTCTGAGCTGCAACCACATAGTGGTTCTGGGCCGAGGTGAGCCAGTCCACCACGATCACGTTAGCCGTCTGTTCTCTCTCATACAGCGCTGACACCAGCTTTGCCACCCAGCTTTCAAACATACCACTCAACTGTTGAAAGGACAGATAAAAAGCTGAACTTACTATGTGACACAGCATTGCAACAAGGTCACACTGGTACTGATAACATTAAA